CGCGGGGCGCTTCCGGTTTCTCGGGCAAGCAGCCACCCTTGCCCCGCCCTCCGGAGGACCGCGTCTCTGTATATAATATATATATGTATGTATTGTTCCCGGTTTTGTACGGACCATACCCCCTGTCAGGTCGTCCCCATAAAAGCAGCCCCCAGAGCCTCGCTGCCTGGTTTCTTGACTCGCTGGCGACGGGAGTTGGGGGGGGGCCCAGCTGTCCCCAGTCCTCTCCAACGGTGCTGCCTCTGCCTACCAGGGCTCCGCGGATGCAGCGGTCTGCCCCGCCTCCGTTCCCCCATCCATCACAACCATGCTTTTTGTCCAGCCGTCCTGGGCAAGGCTGGGATGTCTAGGGAGTTTCTTCCATCTGCAAGGTGGACCCCAAGTCCCTCTGAGTTCTCTGAGCTGTTGGGGATACTCACCAGAGGCACCCTGTATTGACGTGCACAAAGAATCAGGTTCCCCCGACGGGATCGGATGTCGGGGAAGTTTTGTCCTAGGGGTCCTAGAGGATCTGTTTATTTTGATGGGCCCTTTGAGGGCAGGCCAGAGAGGCCTTGACTGGTTCTAGCCCCCTGCTCTGTGCCAGCAGGTCTGGTCGCTGACTCACCAGTTCTGATGCTGATGGGTCTGGGAGTCTGGATGCCACTTTCTAGGGATAAGCTTTGGTGAGTCCCAGATAGCTGAGAGACAGCCGGGGACAGGGCAGGGTCTTGTGACGGCTGGCAGCGCTAGCCTTCCCTGCCCTGGGTGCTGGGTGCAGTGTGAGAGAACGCAAGCACATGGCACTTGTCAGTGTCTTGGCCCAGGGTATTTTCGGTCTCCCCTCCCCGTGCCATAGGAATGGATGTCCTAACCTCAGGGCCCTTCGAGATCCCTCGGTGGGTCCCTGACAACACTGGAGGATGAGTGGTCTGTCCCCGAACTCCCAGTGACAGCTCCGGATGCAGCCGCTCTCTGGCGGATGGCTGTTACACAAGTCTCATTCACGTCAAGCCTACTTCCGGCTTTCTATAGCCACCCCTCAAAATTCCTAGTTCTATACCTTAGGGCCATGTGGGATCAGTCCAGTCCTGTCTCCTGCGGGTCACCTGGCTACCTGGAGATAGTGACCATGCCTTTCAAGGCCTCTCCCTGAGTGTGTCACCTTTGGAATACTCCAGGAGCTCAGGGGTTGTTGACAGATGAAGGTAGCTGAATCCCAAGGTCAGAGACCACCAAATTGCAAGGTCACAGCTCATAGCCCAGGGTTATAGGTCACTGGAGCCCGGGGGCACTAAGCCTCTGCTCAGTAAACCTAGCCCAGAAGTCACTGGATGGGGAGGTTGTGGTAAGGGCCTGACTGGGGCTAACCATTTAAGGTGGGACCCTCCTGCCCCTGTCTGGCCTGCTCACTAGGTGGGGTGCCTGTATATCATCTGTTCCAATGGGCAAGCCAGGTAGCGCCCCTGGTGGTGACGCCTGGATGTGTCTGTGTCTGGGGGTCTTGGCTTTGCAGTGAGTTTCCCAAGCCCGAGATGTGACTGGCTCATCGTATCTGACCATGTTTGGGGCTATGTCAAGTGGCCGTGGCCACTGTGTGGGGCTTGTCACCTTAGTTCCCCTCATCCCCATACACACCTGCTCAGTTCTTGGGAGCCTGGATAGGTTTGTCACAACCTACTCCAACATTCCCCAGAGAAGAGGGAAGTCAGATAAGGGAGATTTTTCTCAACTCCCAGAAGCCGAGGCCTCACCAAGGACCAGGGTCTCTCAGGTTCTACGGTCTAAGAGATGATACCCCCACAAAGATCCCTCCCCACCAACACTGACCTTACCTACCCATTTCTCCAGCCCTTGGAATTTACAGGGCCTGTGTAAGCAATCCCCCATTCCAGCCCACCACCCAAATCTCACCAGATGCCTGCAAACTACCTCTTTAAAGATGCCAGACTCCATCCCCACAGTCTCTCAGCCACACCGCCCTGTAGTAATCTGGCCAGCATCCCATGGCTACCTGCAGGTTCCAAAGACACCCAGACTCCCAAATCCCCGTAGATCTCCTCCACCCCTAATTCCGTCCTTACCCACAGTCCCAAGATAGCTCTGGCTCCACATGCCACTTCTCACAGGCCCTGGGGGGGCCTCTTGGACTGCACAGGCTGCTGTGGGCCCTCAGCGAGCTCTTATCTGCAATTTCCTCTCCTGTCCCCCAGCTCTGGACCCTTATCCGCCTTCACCACTTGCCCCTGCACAAACCACTCGTGCCTTTAGAGTCTGTTTTCTCTGAGGTAGGGGCAATCGTGGGCTTATTGTGAGGGTGACAAGAAATCATCCGAGCACAGCAGAGCGCTGGCACGCCCTGAACCTCCCGTATGGTAGCTGGCTGTGGATGATGACAGTATCTCTCCTGGCGGGCCTGTCACCACCTCCCATCACAAGTCCAAGTCTGATCTCATCCATCCCCACCCCCACCCTGCTCCAGGGCTCAGGCCTCGAGCCAAGACCAACAGTCTCCCAAGACCCCTCCTTCTTCAACTCCCTGTCCTCAGATCTTGTCAGTGTCTGCAGTTCTGCACCCTGAATCCTTCTCAACCTGATCTCTAATCTTCGTGCCCACTGCCAACCTCTCTCAGCAGCAGCCTCCTCGACGTCTCCTTTTGCAATCCTTTCTCCACTAAGGACTCAAAGAGTTCGGCCTAAAATGCAAATCTGAGCCCCTCCCCTCCTCTGCTAATCCCCCCCCAGTCACGCCCCAAAGCCGCCGCCAAGGCCACCACCACCACCACCACCACCACCACCCGCAAAGTGCCAGGCCTGGCTGCACCTCCCTAGCCTAGTCTCGTCTTCCCTTCAGGCTCGCCCCCACCCAGCCCACCGGCACTTCCCTAGCCTGGGCTGCAGGAATAGCCAGCACACTACTTCCTCCGGGAATCCCACTGCGCATCCCAGACCCTCAGCTGCCCCAGGCAGGACCCGGCGCCCTCGCGTGCGCTCTCCTCCCCGCGCTGAAGTGATCTCTGTGAATGGGGGCCAGCAGCAGTCGAACTTGAGGGCTTCCCCACTTCTCTGTCCCCCTGACTGCGGAACCCTGACGGCCTCGACCAGGTGGGTTCTGGTCGCTGCGGTCCCCTCCGGCCTGGCGCCCCGGTGGCTCAGTGGATGTTTGTGGAATGAATGAATGAATCAGGATCCCGCACAGAGGAGACCACCTCCTCTTCGCAAAGGTGGCGAAAGCCCAGCAGGTCCCGAGGCGGGGCTACCTC